AACGCCAGGTAAGGCGTAGTGAGTAGAATTTTAAGCCGCTTTTAGCAATATTCCAGCAATGTCACGGCGGGGGACACCTCAAATGGGCTCCACACATTGTACCCATGTGCGGTATCGAACCCGGGCATTTGGGGTGACGAGCGAACGCACGAGGCTATCCCACCGTCCGAATAAGGCGTGACTATTTATTTAGAGGGTATTTTTCACTCGTTTTATGTGACAATATGATCCTTATCCTGTATTGCACTGAGGGATCAAGATAAGTTTTTTAGTAGTTGGGTATCTACTCACAAGTTATCATTCGTGGGGGGGAGCTTTTACTCCCTTGTGTCCAGACTATTGGATACTTTTGCACCTAACGAGGAGATCTTTTTAGAATAATGCATCTTGAAATGCTGCTTCGGGTGACGTGGTTGTTTGTATGTTTAGGTAATGCCCCAAGTGTGTAAACCCACTGGAGCGATACGCATGTCTGGTTATCACTCTAGGACAATGCAGTAAATGTTCACGTGTGTGTGATGCGTGCATTTAATTAGTAAATAACTACATGTAAAACCCGATGTGCAGGCAAGTTGAAAATGATACAAGGGATAATTACGCAGTGTTTTTAAACTATTGGACTTTTATAACTTATAACGCATTTTCACGTAAGCAACTAAAGAATATATATAATGGCTTTTGCGTGTTTTACCGTATTTTGAACTCTTTAATGTGTTGATGTTTTTAATCGACTAAAGTGAGTTAGTGAGTGAGTAGGATTATATGCCGCACTGTCCCGGTCATATCCGGCAGGCACACCAGAAATAGGCTTCACAAATTACACCCATGTGTGGAGTCGAACACAGGTCTTTGTCACGACTAGCGAACGCTTTCACCACTAAGCTAGCAACCTTTCCCGGAGTCAACCAAATGTTGTTTACGTCTTCAATATTCCAACTATGAAAACCGATGGTTAGTATCTTGAGCTACGTTTTACACCGTCACAAGATATTATATATGCTTGAAATAGCACTGCAGTATACCATAAATTGTTGTCTTTGTTTTATGCGACTAGTCTTAAAATACACACCGAATCAGGGGGCAGGTTGCAGGGGAAGATGAGGAGAAACGGGAGGTACCCTTGGTTTGTTGTTGTTTGGTATAAAGTTACGTTTTTGTTTTTGTTGATGTATAACTTTTTATTGTCACGATATGGATGAAATACTGCCGATATGACTCAAAATTTGGACTCACTCGCTCTCTGGGGGAACGATACACACACGTCCCTCAAAACAAGGTTTAGTTTGGATCCAAACGAATAAAACCGTTAACGATCAACAATATCGTTTTAATCTGTTAACGTCTGTTGCCACTATCGATAATGTAGAGCGACATTTGTGCCATATATTGATATTATATTATCATATAAGTCAATAAATCGATACCCATGATGCCCTCAAGTAATAAACCCCTCCAGCCGGTTGCCGTAGCACACACACAAAATCATGCAATATAAATAGTAAGTTTGCCATGACGGACGTGTGTTACATATCTCAGATTTATGAATTCTTACAATAAACTCCGGTCCTGGTCGTTAAGCACACAGTTTTTTCACTTCACCCGTTCTTCGTTTCAATATATAACATATCTGCACAATCCTGAACTTCTTATTTGTGTCCCCCGATACGTCGGTCGATATGTTAACGATCCTACCAAGGCCATTTAATGTAAATATGGCTGCAACGCTCTTCTGACATCACGATTTGTTGTTTTGTGTATTTTGTGAAAAAACAACATTGGCTGTTAGTCCACATCATATTTGTGCTGCGGTAGAAATCTACATTAAACGTCAAGAGGTTCCTTTGCCAATAAATTTCAAGATTGAAAAACTCCTTTTTGAAAGATAAGTGACACGCGACAACCGAGTACAAAGTAGCTCTACAGTCAACAGTCACGCGGTCGCATTCCTGCGGCTATGTATGTCCATATTGGTCAATATATGTGTGTATATATAGACAAATGCAATTTCTAGATGACTCAGAATATCGATCACTGTCACCTACATATCAGTGGACGACCTATAAATACTCTTTCCCCCTACGTCAGGTAATTACGGGAAGAAGGCACCCGTGTCTCACATTTCGTTATTAATTATTAGGTACAAAATATTATCATAACGGCGCTCGTGTCCCTGCGCTCGGTAAGTTCCGTGAATTGTCGTAAACTGAGTTTTTGTTTGAGATTTTTGTCGAATGTCATTGGAAATAGTATGGAATTCAGAACATAATAATTTTTATTTCAGTATGAGTGAATGGGATTTTACGCCGTTTTTGTTTGTTCACAGCGTTGTGAAAGGACACAGGTGATAGACGTCTTCCGATTTAGTCCGAGTTTCGGTGTAGTGTTAACAGACTAAGATTCATTATCGGAGCGAAAATGATATTTGGACCCACATTGTCAGGGTTTTGGGGTGGGGGATGGGGTGGGATGGGGAGAGGGGCTCGGAGGCTAGATATTCTTGTCAGAAGTAATCTGTTCCAAAAAGTGTTGGAAGCATTAAATTTCCCTTCGTTCACGGTATATGCTTTGTACAGTAAACTGCGTCTATAACGAACACGCTTATAACGAACTGACGGATATAACGAACCGTTTTTTTAGTCTCGGCCATTTGCTGTCTATAAGCTGTATATATGCTTATAACGAAGTACGGTTATAACGAACTGAAAATAGAGATTCATTTGAGTTCGTTTTAACCTTAATTTAGTGTATATCCCTAAAATACCCGCTTTCTGTCTCCTATCAGAAAAGATGATGATATATGTGTCTGTATACATGTACTGTGTATTCCAGATGTTGAGTGAAGGTCGTTGATATTGGGATAGATTTCAGTAACCCTCAAGTCATATGACTATGATTATATGGCTAAGTGTTTAAACAAGCATACCCCTGTCGGTACCAATCGTTTAACTGGAAGAGTTTCACCTCCTTCAAACTACTTTTTAAAGTTTTCACAAAACCTCCCCCAAAATGGTTAAAAAAACGGACATCAAAACCAATATTTACCGGTTCCACATATGGATTCCCAATATTCTATTTACAAGGAACTGCCCAGGGACCCATGCTACAAACCGTAAGAGCTCTAAAGTTCGTAGATCTACGATGCTTTTGAGGAACGCTGGGCATTGGTTTTCAATAAGTTGCTGACACAGTGGAAACCAGTGTAAGGTATAGCTGTTTGTGATAACTGTGAGGTGCTGCGTAAGACGTCAAGGCAAGCCATGCATATTTGTCATTTCAAAAGAACACAAGGCCATGCTGCCTAAAACCTGCTAAAACTGGATCATGTCGTCTTACTGACGTAAGGGATCATCTATGAATCACCAGTCGTTGTGTTTTGTTTTCTGTGTCTGCGAGGTCATGACGTCAATGTTCTCGTCTATTGGTTTCATCTACGACAGTCTGTTACCACACGCTCAGTCCTCCACCCACTTCAGTATTAGCCACAACCCACTACTAGTGCTTACCAGCCCACACGTGGACAAGCTTGGCTTTTCTCGAGAATTTATTTTTCTTGTTGCATGGCCATTTCATGTTTCGCTATAGTCTTGTGGAGCATCTGTGTGCGTCATCGTGTTGTTTAAATGATGCTCTATTCCGTATGGGTAAACACATATACGTTGATTTCAGAGATTGGTGTACTGTTGAATGGGGTTTAACCTGGCGTTCAGAATGTAGGATAGAACCTACTGTTGAGCTGTTCGTAAAGTAGGATAAAACCATTTCCGAGCTGATGTAGAAAGTAGGATTAAACCACTGCCGAGCTGACGTAGAAAGTAGGATTAAACCATTTCTTAGCTGTTGTAGAAAGTGGGATTAAACCACTGCCGAGCTGACGTAGAAAGTAGGATTAAACCATTTCTTATCTGTTGTAGAAAGTGGGATCAAACCACTGCCGAGCTGTTGTGGAAAGTAGGATAAAACCATTGCTGAGCTGTTGGCTAAAGTAGGATAAAACCATTGCTGAGCTGTTGCTAAATGTAGGATAAAACCATTGCTGAGCTGTTGGCTAAAGTAGGATAAAACCATTGCTGAGCTATTACTAAAAGTGGGATAAAACCATTGCTGAGCTATGGCAAAAGTAGGATAAAACCGTTGCTGAGCTGTTGCTAAAAGTGGGATAAAACCATTGGTGAGCTATTGGCAAAAGTGGGATAAAACCATTGGTGAGCTTTTGGCAAAAGTGGGATAAAACCGTTGCTGAGCTGTTGCTAAAAGTGGGATATAACAATTGCTGCGCTATTGGCAAAAGTGGGATAATACCGTTGCTGAGCTGTTGCTAAAGGTGGGATAAAACAATTGCTGCCCTATTGGCAAAAGTGGGATAAAACCGTTGCTGAGCTGTTGCTAAAAGTGGGATAAAACCATTGGTGAGCTGTTGCTAAAAGTGGAATAAAACCATTGGTGAGCTATTGGCAAAAGTGGGATAAAACCATTGGTGACCTGTTGCTAAAAGTGGGATAAAACCATTGGTGAGCTATTGGCAAAAGTGGGATAAAACCGTTGCTGAGCTGTTGCTAAAAGTGGGATAAAACAATTGCTCCGCTATTGGCAAAAGTGGGATAAAACCGTTGCTGAGCTGTTGCTAAAGGTGGGATAAATCCACAGCTGAGATTCGGCTGAAAGAAGAAAAAAATAAATGCTAAGCTGTTGCAGAAACTGGGATAAAACCAGTGCTGAGATATTGCAAACATAAATCATATTACGCCCGTTGAATAAGGGGGAGGAACACACATGTGTTACTTGCGCATTCATCAAGAAGACTGTTTGACGAATCGCCCAATCCCCATATACCGAACCACTCTAAAACAGTACTGATACCTTTTAGCAACCTTGGCTTCCAGATTCTTCATTGGTTTGTTGTAGGCAAACGTCAGCTATATGGAATTGAATATCCTACCTACACACTGTCATACATTACACATTACCCACACAAGTGTACAGCCCCGCCATCTTGGTTTCAGATAAGCGATGGATCTGAAGTGTGTCCCCGTGCTGTCCGTCGTTGTGCTGATGCTGCTGGACATCGTCGCTGGTCAGAATGCGGATGTAGGCGCGTGGACGAAGTGGTCCCAATGGTCAGCGTGTTCCGAATCGTGTGGGAGCGGCATAACCTCCAGGACACGTCACTGGGAACAACCGAAGGGCGAGACACCGTTTGATAAACCCTTCACAATGTCCGAGAACTCTGGTTGCAACAACGGACAATGTCCCGGTGAGTTTCCGTGACGACCGAACTGGACACACTGAGTGACCCTGTTTGTCCAACCAGATCTGAATCGATTTAGAAATTAGCAAACCTTTCATAAATGATCATCATTATCACTTGTGGTTACATGAATGACATTTTTCTATTTTCAAATTTTGGACATCTTAAAATACGGACTTGACTTAACTTATGTATTGACTTAAGGCTAAAATGTTTTAAAAAGAATGACTGGGTCTGTTATATTAAATGTGTATTGAGTCATCATGCAGTGATATCCTAGAATTGTTTAGAATTCTTTCATTTTAACTTTGTGTCACACTTGATGATGTCATGAAATGAAATCATTCAAGCGATCGAAAGGTTAAGGGCAAGATCGGAATAGACGTCTTTAAGTTTGAGACGGACATCTTTGATCTAAGCTTTGACTTCCATACGCTCCCACTCTGGTTGAATGGAAATCCCCTTTCTGGAACTGAAAGCGGGGATCTCACTTTATTTATATTAAGTTTCTGGCAAAATCTCTGCTTTGCTCCGGGGCTGAATAAGACCCTGGCAAACCGTGCTTGTTGTATGGCCGATTAAAATGAGTATGGCTGATGTGACTTGGCTGATTGAGTGTCATCGTACTCTGACTTCGGCGTAAAATTCGTAAAAATGGAACGCAAACCACAGTGTCTAGTTGCTAGATGCTATCCATTGTCGGCCGTTTAAGCCCATGTTTGGCCCCGACTCATGACGAGAACCGACAGCCATCAGTCATCAGACTTTTATTTGACTGGGATATAGATAAATTGCAAATGATTCCGTGGTATATATTGGCTAACCAACCAATTTCTTTTGTGTTTATGTTTCCTATGAACCGACAACTATTTATTCCACGCCCACTAACGGGCCCGGGCTGCTGTTTCCTGATTGGTCGATAATAGAATGGGCGGGGCTTGTTACATTATTGCATGAAGGAAGATTAAATAAGCAGTCTGTGAGGTTATGATCGTTGACATGTAATTATAAGACTTGAATATGTCTTCGCGACGCGCATTTACACAGTGTAAACGCCCGTTTTTATACTTTTATACCTCAATAAAAGTTCCTAAATAAACATGAAACCGGGTGTGCACACAGTGTAAATACGCGTAGCCAAAGTAAACGCAAACCATATTGGCGTCAGTTCTAATATCACCATAGCTGTGACACGGGTGAATTCGTGTTGTACCCGAAAGCATGGATCAATTATTTACAGGCCGTCGTGATGCACCTGAAAAAGATTGTTTGTCTTCGGCGTTTAAGTTTAAACCAACAAAAGAACGCTGTTGATAATAAACACCACCCTTATCAGTATTAATTATTATCATCGTCATCACCATCATCATCATCATTATCGTTATTGTTCCTGTTCTTCTTGTTCTTGTCGTTAAAGTTGACGTTATTATTTCTATCATCATCATCATCGTTATTGTTGTTCTTCTTGTTCTTCTTCTTGTTCTTCTTCTTCTTCTTCTTCGTTACTGTTGAGGTAATGTTAATGTTGTTGTTCTTCTTATTTTTGTTATTGTTCTTGCAGTAGCTAGAGGACCTGTGGTATGTGGTTACCATATTATTATTATTATTATTATTATTATTATTATTATCATGTTTTTCTTCTTCTTGTTTGGGGGCACGGGTGGCCCAGTCGTCTAAGGCGCCGCGATTCGCTGTGCATTGTTGCGTCCCTTGGGCACGCCAGAAACCTATGATTGTGGGTTCGAATCCCGGTTCGCCCCGAATAAGTTTCTAGGTTTGTCAGCACCATACCGTGCACGTGGGTATCACCGAAGTGGTAAACGTCTGATACCTGCATCACCTCGGGCTTTCCTCCCACATTAAGCTGACACGCCGCGATATAACTGGAATACTGTTAAAAGAGGCGTTAAACCCAACTCACTCACCTACTCACTCATTGTTGTTGTTGTTGTTACAGTTGACGGTAGCTGGAGGCCCTGGGGCATATGGTCACCATGTTCCGAGGCATGTGGTGGAGGTATTCGACAGCGGGATCGCACGTGCAATCCACCTATCAATGACGGGATGGAATGTGATGGAGAGGCCTTTGAAGATGACGAGTGCAACACAGTGCCGTGCCCACGTAAGTTCCGGTCCTCTAGGTGCACTCGGGTGCACTCGGGTGCATACGGGTTGCCGCGGATCCGTTCAGATCCACTCGGGCTCATTCGGTTCCTTTCGCTTTCCACTGAGTGCTATTGTGCTATTTGTGGCGCACGGGGATTCTACACCTAAATTCTGTCATGTTTTGATAACACTGATGTCCTGTGCTAATAGGACATTCCATTGTGACCAATTTGTCACGTGATATTTTAGGTCTTCTAGCGTTTGTGCGCCTCTCGATGACTTCCTTTAAATGACATTTCCGTCCCCTTCAGTGTGTTCGATTGGCAAGCATGTTTATTGTCATGCGATGTGCACGTGAACAAAAATAGTTCAAATTTTTTTTTTCAACCAGTGGAAATAAAGTGACCCGGCTTCTATATTGGTCTAATACATTCGGTCCATTCGGCATAGTCTGTCACATTCATAATACCAAGGGCAGTAGTTAAATACAGTAAACTACGGTTATAACGAACTCAAAGGGACTACTAATTTTAGTTCGTTATAACCGTAGTTCGTTATAAGCATATATACAGGATAACTACAGCAAAAAAGTCGGGACCAAAAAGTAAGTTCGTTATATCCGTCAGTTCGTTATAAGCGTGTTCGTTTTAACCGTAGTCTACTGTACCGATAATGAATTATTTCACTGTCAAATGTACAAACTCAGATGACCAATCTGTCCACATATTGGTTCATTTGACAACGGAATATATTTTTGTTCATGGTCAACAGAAATTTGGGATGCAGTTTTATATGTATATGATGGTGTACTGTCGCCTGATTGTGTTTCGTAATAGTCACGTAAACTAGTAAAACTAGTAAACACTTCCAATGCTGGCGGATCACCTATGGGGTCGAGGTGAGCCGAAGGATGCGATAATGAGTTTGAAAGTATCGACACAGTGATGCGTAACTCACGGAGACATGAAAGTCTCATCAATCGTTGAAATACATTTGTGTAACATACAGCAGAAATAGGGAATGTCTAAGAATCCAGAAATATTTCTCCCAGTGAGAAAACAAATTTGACCTGATCGTCTAGAATGACGTTGGTAACGTCTGTTTAGGCAACATCTGTAAAACATCTGTCAGGAAAGTAGTTACTGACTGGCCAGGAGGATATATTGTCAGCGAGGGGGGATGCGTCTTCTGGGAGTCGCGTCCGTCCCCTGTCTGCTCACCTGATTGATCTGTAATGATTCGATGATCCGAAATAGACCCAAATCGATGACAGCGTTTAAATCTTTGACGATTTGAGAACCTTTGGGATTGTTGCGTGTTGCGAGTTTCGTGTGTGAGTATTGCTTTCTTAAGTCCCAACGCTCTTTGACGGTGATCAGCGTTAAACTAAAACGTCAATGTGGTTTGAAGGAGAAAAAAAACACGAATTTGGACCGAAATCTGTGTAAGGGGACAGCGTGAGACGTGTGTGTGCCTTTCAGGATTTTCGGGCAGGTGATGCTTATTGCGGTGAAACGTAGGGTAGGTGAGGGTCAATGCGGTGGATGGTAGGGTAGGTGAGGGTCATTGCGGTGGATGGTAGGGTAGGTGAGGGTCATTGCGGTGGATGGTAGGGTAGGTGAGGGTCATTGCGGTGGACGGTAGGGTAGGTGAGGGTCATTGCGGTGTAGGGTAGGTGAGGGTCATTGCGGTGGATGGTAGGGTAGGTGAGGGTCATTGGTGGATGGTAGGGTAGGTGAGGGTCATTGCGGTTGATGGTAGAGTAGGTGAGGGTCATTGCGGTGGATGGTAAGGTAGGTGAGGGTCATTGCGGTGGACGGTAGGGTAGGTGAGGGTCATTGGTGGGTGGTAAGGTAGGTGAGGGTCATTGCGGTGTAGGGTAGGTGAGGGTCATTGCGTTGGATGGTAGGGTAGGTGAGGGTCATTGGTGGGTGGTAAGGTAGGTGAGGGTCATTGCGGTGGATGGTAGGGTAGGTGAGGGTCATTGCGGTGGACGGTAGGGTAGGTGAGGGTCATTGCGGTGGACGGTAGGGTAGATGAGGGTCATTGCGGTGGACCCATTGTAGGGTTCCTTTAGGGGTCTACCTTTTTAAAGGCGGTCTGTAAATAATCGAGTCTGGTCCATACAATCCAGTGATTGACATCAAGAGCATCGATCCACGCACTTGGGAAACGATGGCATGCATCACCTAAGCCTGACCACCCGACCCTGTAAGTCGCCTCTTACGACAAGCATAGTCGCCTTTTTACGGCAAGCATGGGTTGCTGAAGACTTATTCTGATTATGCTTTAGGTTCGTCACACCCTACCATTGCTCCTGGGTTTTGCCAAAGTGGTAAACGTCACTTCGGGGTTTCCTGCCACATTGAGCTGACACGCCGTGACATAAGTGGAAAACTGTTAAAAGCCGCGTTAAACCAAACTCACTTACCAGAACTCACTCATGTTTCGACCCGTGAAGATTCCGGGGTAGAATAGGTCTTCAGCAACCCATGCTGTCGTAAAAGGCGACTATGCTTGTCGTTAAAGGCGACTAACGGGATCGGGTGGTCAGGCTCGCTGACTTTGTTGATGCATGTCATCGGTCCCAATTGCGTGGATCGATGCACATGATGTCTTTCACTGGATTCTCTGGTCCAGACTCGATTATTTACAGACCGACGCCATATAGCTGGAATATTGCTGAGTGCGGCGTAAAACAACAAACAAACAAACAAAACAAAACACTCATGTTTCATGTGGATCTGACGGCTATTATGACAACAGGGATACCACGTATACAGTTTCAGCTATGACCTGGCAGTCTCTATATTTCAGGAGGACCATTTGTTATATCATTTTTAGTCCCCAAATGGGATTCCGGGCCAGATTGGGTCCCTGTCCAACTGGGCTGGTCGACAGATGGTCAATTTATTGTAAGATAAATGACGCGAATATAGTTACCACTATTTATACAGTTGGTATTTTGCAGCTAATGTCTCATGAAAATACGTATTTATAATTTTGGTTCAAAATTGGGTTTAGGGCCTTCAAATGACAGCATCATTGAAAACACAATTTACTGAGTATTTTTTCCCTAATCTAGGACACCTCACAAGAGAATAATTTTATGACCTTATTTGGAATTCGGATATTGCAACAACACGACGCAGGCCATGAAACATCATTCGGATTCTCTCGGCTTTATCCGGGGCAGACCGCCATTGAGACCTACTGTGCGTCATTTCTTAATCACTTAGTATATTTAGTATATGGCATTGTTTAATTCTGTTGCGGAACATCTGTCGCCGTACTACATCCGTGACACGGACATACAAGGACGTTCACGGTTCGTACGGTGTGAGTAATGACACAGCGATTCCCAGAACCCATTCACGTAATGGCGGACGCTCGCTCACTGAATCGACATAGACGTGAGTGAGTTGGGTTTAACGCCGCTTTCAACAGTATTCCAGTTTCACCACGGCACGTCAGATTAATGTGGGGGGATGATGCAGGTCTTAGACACTTACTACTGGTGAAATCCACCAGCACGGGTTTGTGTTGACAAACTTAGAAGCAATCGTGTCGATGCGAGAATCGAACCCGCAATCATTCGTTTCCGGCATGCCGAACGGACGCAGCTCTGCGCAGCGATTTGCTGCGCGTTAGACGACTGGGGCCCCCGTTCCCCCATAAAAGGAAAATAAAATATGAACAGGTGATTCAGATTTATTAATAAAACGGGCCTTCATCCAAAGTTGGTCAAAACCATCACTCAGTTTTACGTAGGCTTGAAAAGTGCGAGATGAGTAGGGCACTGGGAGGACAACGAAGTAAATAAATTATTATAGATTTCCCTAATCAGCTACCTAATGCCAATCTGTCTTGATAACTGGTGGTCCTTATAGTGAGTGAGTGAGTTGGGTTTTACGCCGCTTTTAACAGTATTCCAGTTATATCGCGGCGTGTCAGCTTAATGCGAGAGGAAAGCCCGAAGTGATGCAGTTCTCAGACGTTTACCACTTCGATGAAACCCACGAGCACGGGTATGGTGCTGACAAACCTAGATCATAATCGGGGCGAACCGGGACTCGAACCCACAATCATATGTCTCTACACAGCGAATTGCGGCGCCTTGGACGACTGGGCCACCCGTGCCCCCGATAGTCTTTATAAGTAAGGATAAGATTCAACAAGCCATCTTCTTATACACGAGTTATTGCCGCAGGGTATATCATATATTGATTTGTATATAGCACACATTGTAATTAAGGCATAAGATACTCTAGATCCGCTGTTAATAATAATAATAAGAAGAAGAAGAAGAAGAAGAATGTGTATATGGAATACAACATTTGCTGTCTTCACATTTTTATTACATTTCAAATTTCATAATGCAAAACATAAAACATTAAAACAGGCTTATAACCAACTGTATTGGACAGTCCCTCGTTGGCAGGTTTTTTATATCAGTTTCAATATATGTATTATATTTAATTTTATTATATGTATCACTCACTCACTGTATTGGACAGTTGAAATGTGTTCGTTATATCAGTAGTTCGTCATATCAGTAGTTCGGTACGAAACCATTTAGATTACACCAATATTCATGTCATGCCATTCCGGGTCAAGCTAAAACTTGGAATAGAGTCTCTAGTACTCCACATTTGAGGAGATTTCTATGTTTCTATGATACCCGAAACTGATTCTAAACAAATGTCAAGTTTATATTTAAATACATATGACATCTGATTTCCCCTTCCAAAGGTTGGGTAGTTCAAAGGTATGTACACTGAACAAAAAATTAGAGATCATGAATATTCTTGGGGATATTTATTTGTAGCGAAGAGCACGCAGTTTCATGAAAATATCCCCCAAAACGGTCATGATCCCAATACTATTTTTTCAGTATGTTTATTGCCCAAAAAAATATCAGTGCTTGTTGTAACCGTTTTGTGATGTAATGTCATCGTTTCTTTCCTTTCAGCTCTGCCCGTCCGGTTTAACACATCAATGTGCGCGACATCGAAGTACTTCACGTGCAAGAGCGGCAAGATGTGCATACCAATGAGCGAATTGTGTGACGACACCGTGCAGTGCCACGATGGCAGCGACGAGAAGAGCGACCCCTGTTTTAAGGACAACCGGGTGGGGTCGGTCCACTACCAGTTCGTCAAGGACACGGGTATGTCCTTCATTTCTGGGGGGTGGGGTTAGGATGGAGTGTTGTGTGTGGACAAATATCAACAGGCGCTGCTGTTTGTGGGGTATTGGGGGGGGGGGGGGGGGGGGCGGTATGACTGAAGTACTGCCCAAATCGGTGGTAAACTCACCCGCCCGCCCAAACAACCGCTCGGTTCCTGACTCACACACTCACTCACTCAATCACTCAGCTGCCATCTACCTGCTCACTCACTCACTCACTCACTCACTCACTTACTCACTCACCAAACCTCCCAAACCCGCCCGCTCACTCACTCACATGCTCACCCGCTCGCTCACTCACTCACTTAATCACTCACCTGCTCACCCGCTCGCACACTCACCAAACCTCCCCACCCGCCCGATCACTCACTCACTCACCTGCTCACCAGCTCACGCACTCACCAAACCTCCACAGCCGCCCGCTCGCTTGCTCTCTCACTCACTTACTCACTCACCGGCTCACTCGCTCGCTCACTCACCAAATATCCCCACCCGCCCACTCACTGACTCACTCACTCACTCAGCTGCCGCCCACCTGCTCACTCACTCACTCAACAAACCTCCCCAACCGCCCGCTCAGCCACTCACTCACTAAACCTCCCCTCCTGCCAACTCACTTACTCACTAACTCACCTGCTCGCTCACTCACTAACTCACCTGCTCACCCGCTCACTCACTCACTAACTCACCTGCTCACTTACTCACTCACCTGCTCACCCGCTCACTTACTTACTAAACCTCCCCACCCGCCCGCTCACTCACTCACTCACTCACTCACTCACTCACTAACTCACCTGCTCACTCGCTCACTCACCTGCTCACCAGCTCACGCACTCACTAAACCTCCCCACCCGCCCGCTCACTCACTCACTCAGCTTCATCCCTCATCTTGCACCACACATTATGGTGTGAGTTGCGCCGTACCAGCCAAAACTCGACATTTCACGAGTGGAAGACATTAATTTTTGTAAGATTACGTTAAATGTTTTAAGACCCATTGACATTATTACAGTTATCGGCGAAATTGTTTACGAATTTCCGAAGTTATTTGACATTTGATTTATTGAACTGTTTGAATATGTGGGGAAGTTTATGGCTCTGTTATCAACTAAACGGATTTAATACCAGGACTTGTAGAAGCTTCTAAGATCTTAAACCAGTTGAAAACAGATTTTTTTTCACTTTAAGGAGAGTTTTAAAGTTTTCATTATTTTTCGTAATTGTGTCAAGAGTGGGGGAAGTGTTCAAATATTGATCCTGACAAGCCTATGGCTGCTTCCTGCGCAAGTGAATCTCGTCGTATATTGAACACTGATGAAGAGAATCTGAAGGCGGGTCGGTGTGTTCCGAATGGCATTAAGAACTACCAGCGGGCATGGTGAAGTCATTTCGTGGCGTCAACAACAATGTGACCTTTTATTATTCGTCTTTAGTTTAATTAATCAGAAATTACAACACACTCCCTATTTTGCTACAGGTGCATCTCATAGTGGATCTCTCTCCGTCATCGTTGGTCTGGTTGTCATGGTGATAATGATGCACGTCATCGGACACTGTTAAGTGACAGGTGCGAGGCTGAAATGGACATCCCGACGTCATTGGTTGGTGTATGAAATATACAACACATCTGCGAAATGAAGATGAAGAAATGTGGTTTTCGTCCAAAATTGAATTTCTCATCAACTTGTGTTATTTCAAGACGATAGTCTAATCGTCCACTCAGTATTGTTTTGTGCACAGACGTATGTGACGAACATTCTATTATTCTCTGTGACGACTTGAAGACGTCTGAACGTCACCCTGACGTAAAGTTCCCAAGGACATGTAAGATGCCGACAACAACGGGATGCAACGCATAGACGACTATTTGTTTGCCAAAAATGAAATCAAATGATTTGATTGTTTATATGGACGTGGTGTCAAAGACTAATCTTTCCGAAGGGGATGAAAGTCACGTGACATTAACACGTGCTGAAACTGATATCAAGAAACATGTAATTCTGCGTATATCGGTATGCAATTTGCATATCTACAGATGATGGCACCATAACGTGGCTATGTACACGTGTTTATGTTGATATGAAATCTACACGCATGTAGCGGATTGAAATACGCACGCTGATGTGTGCGTTGTGAAATGTACAACGGCTGGTGTGAAATCCACTCGTGTATATATCAGGCCGACAATCTTTGTCCATCCGGTGTGTACTTAACTCTCGTCGTCATCTGACTCCGGGTCGTACAGTACTGACATGTAGTTTATGGGAGAATATCAAATATTATATCATTAATCAAAATACCCATGAAGCCCTTGCGTCATGGCGGCAGTGAGTTTGAAACAAAGTCCTTCAGGTCAACCTACTCGAAAGCTTCACAAAACATCCATTACCTCTAATGGGTTACAACGCAGGGGGTGACAGAACGAAAACTAGGCGAAGGCAAAATCTATACGCTATTTAAATTATAAAAAAAAAAAAATAGGTCGAAGCTCGTGAGACTTTTTTATATCAAAATATCCGAAACCCCACGAGCGTATAATTTTTACGTCAAAAAATTAACATTCTTACAATTTTGGTTTAGTCATCAGACATGGTTGATACAGGATCTCGAAGCAATGCCTTTCGCGTTGTGTATACTTATGTCTTCTGGTCAAATCGGCATTAAATGGAAGGCATTTTGAAAATGAGTTTTAACCTTTTACATACACCGATTGACAGGAAAAGTATGTTACCATGACTACAACGAACTCACGTTCGTTGGAGTAAATGATATTCGAGTGTTCATCAAATCAAATTACGATAGTTTTCATATTTTCATTAATCCCGTAGAATTCGTAAAGACAGCTGTTGTCAATAGGCCTATGCAAAGTAGATTTACGTAAGTGTAAGTTGCTTTTGCAGATTTGCCATCAACCCCTTCGACGCAATATGCTATATAGGGTAATTTGTTTGCTTTCTACATTTAATTTGTCATTTATTATATAACCCATGGTTAACAGACCTGTTCTTGTTTTGTCTTTTATATAAGAAATGGTTTGGATATGTTATTGAACCATTCAGATTTCCCGAAACGTCGGACAAATCAGTTCTAAAGAATATTATGTCGGAGTACCCGTGTGCCTCAAGTGCTAATGTCTTGTTACCTGAAAGGTCCGAGAAAGAGACAATTAAATTATTATTAATCTTTCATTAACGGCATTTGTTAGAAGGAATGGTGTTCATCATTATTAGGGGCACGGGTGGCCCAGTCGTCTAAGGCGCCGCGATTCGCTGTCCAGAGTTGCGTCCCTTGGACACGCCAGAAACCTATGATTGTGGGTTCGAATCCCGGTTCGCCCCGATTATGTTTCTAGGTTTGTCAGCACCATACCCGTGCTCGTGGGTTTTACCGAAGAGGTAAACGTCTGAGACCTGCATCACTTCGGGCTTTCCTCCCACATTAAGCTGGAACGCCGTGATATAACTGGAATACTGTTAAAAGCGGCGTTAAACCCAAATCACTCACTCATCATTATTATGTTTAGTGTTTGGAATTCCCTTGTTTCATCCATCTATGTATAGTACGACGCTTGCTGCATGCACAGCAGCTATACACGCCCCATATATTTAAATACGTAAAAAAACTAAACCCATTTTCGGACTAATCATTTCAGTGAGTAATCAAAAGTTTGTGAATTTAAAAAAAAAGTGTATTCAGGCAAAGTTCCTAGTTCATGATCATGAAATGTTCGCATAGTTGTTAACTGTAAGGGGCACTGTTCATGAATTGTTCTCATATTGCATTTTAAATGATGTCATTCGTACATGTAGTTACTGCGCATGTCTACGCATATCGTTATCTGCGCATGTCACCAGATCATCTGACCGTTTAGTGTCATGTGAAAGGGATGTTTCCGTTAATTTTGATATCTCCTGGCTTATGAACTATGTTATCCTATTTATTTTTGTGTTCTCCTCTCTTCAGTAGTTGAAGGAAGTAGGAGACTTGTTCGAACCATCCCATTTGCTCGGCGCGCGGCCATCTTTTCATTGTTACTGTTGAAGGATCGAGCCACAACTGAACGGTGCTTGTTGATGAAGTCAAAACATATTTTCTTTCAAGCCTCGTGGCTTATCTTAACTGATGTACATACTTTACCACTCGTCTGTTTGTATATTCGCCTATTTGTATATTGTTGTTACTGACAAAGCTGTTCCGTATCCACATGCCTTTCACCACTCCTCTGTATCATATTAACAATCTCTCGAAGTCTGACAATATCACTGAAAACACTCGTGCTTTTCTCGTGATGAACTGCGAGATCCGTTAAATCCATTCGTCACCACTCCCGTCTTCCCGGAAGCCTTCGGATCGTCCCGGACTGACACGAGTGGTCACGAACGTCAGGCAATCTGGACACTCCATATCCGTCTACGCAAAACCATGTTTTTTTCAATACGCATTTTATTTTGTTTATCTTTTAGAAGAGTATTTGTAGTAGCTAGCGTATATTTCCCTCTGATTTCTTCACCTTTATGAAGCTAACAGATTTAGGAGGCTTAGATTTGAACGTAAATGCAATTCTTTGGTTATGCAGTCAAATTCTGATGTAAGGAATAGCAACAGGTCAAGGATTACTTTTCATCTTCTCTGGCGTTGCGCGGCGCGGCGCTGCAGTTACCAATACGTTGGAACGTCAGGAAAAAGATCCTGATTCCTTTACTCGCATGAGGAAAATGCGTGAGTCCCATTGAAGTGCCACCTACCCCGGCGTAATAGGAAATAATGCTAACACGGCGCAAAATGAAAGTCACTATTTCTCTAATTATCTTCGGAGTGACTGTTTAACGAAAGCCAACTACGTATTCCTTTTATACAAACGTGTGTATTTTGTCATCATTATTATAAGCATTATGTTGTACATTCCCTTGCTATTCCTGCGTTCATCCTTGGCACGCAGGGTTATGTTTTCTGGGATTCCACGCCTAACCCTTACGCACCCATGACGAGCCTGTATGTCATTCCCCTGTGTACCGAGGATGTCTTGCTTTATATTTCGCTGTTTGTTTGTGTTCCGATGAACTTTCCGACAACTCAAGCAGACTTCACTCTTGACACAGCCGTGCGTTGCACCGATCACAAGAGCAATAAAACAGTGATACCGTTAATTTCAGCTATTAATCGTTAATTTCGATAAATATTTTACCCTTGTTAAACGAACCATTTTTTGCACAAACAAATGTAATGACTTGTTTCCCCAAATACAGCTTCATTAATCATTACACATTTTCAATACGCCTTTTTTTAACTTATCTTTTTAACTTATCGTTGATTTTCAAACTACTGTCAAGTGAAAGGTATTGGTGGTATGTATCTGAAAGGCACATAAAAGGATTGCTTCCAATAATAATTTTCTCAATATGTCTATCAACCAAAGAATATATCTTAAAATATCTGTTCTATATCATGTTAAGAAATAAATCAAAATATTTCAAACTTAAAGAAGCATTAAAACACTGATGTAGTACTAAATACTTTTTTAATATAGACAAGTTTTTTTGTAATACATCTTCTGTTTATATCTAAATAGATTTCCCTGCATCAAGTTTTTTTTCCTGATGTATTTACGGGTGAATTAATTTTGCGATTAAATTGACATTGAACAAATCTGATATTTGTATATGAACTATTTTCGCCATGTTAGAGTTTTATAACGAATGTGATCTACTATGAGGTGATTCGCCTCTACTTTCATGCAGATAGCTACTGGCATATTTGAGCTTCGTGTTGGTTATCTGAAATAAACATGTTTGAAATATACCACGCTGTTTGTTGTCGACAAAGAGGCGAGTGTTCGTAGAACTAGATGTATGAACAGAAATGCGCGTTGAGTACGTGTGATTGGTTCGGTGCGATGAAAGCCAAGTCGATCAAAGGGAGGCTACTCTTCATTCCCCACTATCACCACACGATTCTCAACTATAGTAAATTTCGTGTGATGTTTTTATCCTATCTGTGTTAAAGCTTGCTAAGTCTTACAAAAGATACCATTTTATTGTCCGAGTTCAAACCATGTCCTAAGGATTTCCATCCTGAAATAACAGAATTTGTTCTCTCATCTCTCACATAAAAGTATCTTAAATAATGATCTCTCCCCTCAGTCTCTCAGATATCTCTCCTCTCAGTCGCCATTGCAAAGATTAAGTACAAGAGACCATGAAATTTTACATTTTGCTGGGTCTTGGCACTGAAAGTTTAGACACCTCAGTAGTGCTGTTCTAGAGAAAGGTTCATTGTTTATTACTGCGCCAAGTCATAATATTACCTGTTTTAAAGTTCTGTGAACAAAATTTCTGTCATTTTACTGACTTGAGTTCGGCACGCTTACACAAGCGGCCTTGTGGTTTTGTTTCATGATCATTTGGCAGATGTTATTTCATTGCGACACCCATCTACTGTAATGCCTCTTAGTGTAACGTGTTTACGTTATGGTAACCAATTTCTTCTATCTATTTGTGTCTTAATTTCCACACTGCCTTGGGGTTTGTAGTTTTAACTCAGACAGTTGGCACAGGCACTGCATACAGAGTGGTGAACATTCCCAAGGCCACAATTCTGGATCTGATGACGTCCAAGGGACGACGATGCCAGTCAGGTTTGTACTCTATTGGTGGCCATACAAGCTGACCATCACCTTGAAAATCTACTGTGTCATATGGAACCTGGGTCAATGAATCATTTTTGGGCTTCTTTTTTGGAAGAGTTTGTAATAAACTTAGGTTAATTATTTCTTTGCTGTAAATGGTGTCTCATGGGCCAGTAATGGCCGGATGGTTACTTATGAATATATTATGTGTCTCCTTTACTGATGTACTATGTGACACCGAAAGAAACATTTTTACAGATTAAAATAAAAAATGCAGCAAAGAGGGTTTGGGTGATCCTGGCACAGTCAGGCTGGTTAGGCTCATCATCAGCTCAGGGCCCTTGCCCCCTCTACACGCAGCCCAGACAGCGAATGGGACTTCTTCCAGGAAACGCTGCCTAGATGAAACTACCCAAAACGTTTCGGAGAATGTGTAGACTCCCCTACTCAGCAGCCTTCTGCGTTACCCAGATTGTCAGAAGGGCTGTATTTCTAGTAGCAACCCCGGGTGCTCTCCCAATGTCAGTCAACAGATTGGGAGGTACCAAGCCTATGGCACCGAGAACAATGGAGAGTCGGACAACTTGGTTCTTGAGATGCAAGCGTAACATTTCGAAAGCGAGGTCTGTATATTTGCCATGTTTTTCCTGAATCTTGTCAATCACATTAGTGTCAAAAGGGACAGAAAACTCAATAATATAAATGTTTTCATTGGATTTATCCAAAAGGACAAAATCAGGTTTGTTGGCCTGGATAGGTCTGAGGCTACATACGGGTCTTTCCCAAAGAATTTTGTACTTATCATTTTCCATGACGCCCTCTACATATTCTGGTTCGTACCATCGATTATTAGTTTTGTTTTTATTATTAATAATGAACGTAAACCAGGAATTAGTTTGGCTGTGTACGTTGTTGCAGTGAGTGTCCTGAAGGTGAAGGAAGCGGATATGGCGATCCTTGGCTGCTGACGTGATGTGAAGTCTCCCCATTCTTGGACGATATCTATTGGTGCCATGTTACCGATATCGTGCCTAAAGTCCTGAAAGTGGCTGTGGACAATGCGGAAATGTCTTGCCACTCGGAACCGTTTCTAACTTTCGTAATTTCAATTTTGCCAATTGCCAAATATTTCTCACATTGTTCTTGAGACTTGAAATGACAATTTTCAAAGGTTTACTTCGTTTTCAGAATTACTTTGGAAAATAACATGTAATCAATTTGCCACCAAAACCCATGACAAATTCCGTGACTTTCACGAGAAAATTGCAAATATCAAAGGTCATCGATATTAACTTTATCGAAGACTATAAAACCGTCTCGCAGCGCAACATGGAATACTTTCCATCCACAAAGTTTACTTTTGAAAACATTATCACCACCAATGCTTTTCTTTTCTTTTGAGGGTGTATGGTAAAACTGACTTAGAATAGATTGGCAAGTCTGGGAAACAAGGACTAATGGCGTGAATACGAGTACGGCTCAAGCAGTGTGAACCTCTGTTAACATCATCCTCTATTTCGGTAAACCTACATTAACCCCTTGATCCATCCCAGTGGTTCTCGAGATGTCTAATTACCCGTCCTTGATTTTCGTTAACATTATACCGGCCAATCAAACCTTAAGATAAGGCAAATGATAATGGGTAAGGGAGGTACGCGTATTGCCTACAAACCAAACCAAACAGTTTTAATGGACATGGCTTTCTTTTGCGTGTCAGTCTGTTTTTCAATGGTGAATTTCTCGCAAACCCTATCGTAATCCATGGGACTAGCCGCCATATTGTTATTATCAGCAACCCGACCTTGAGGCTGGTTTGTAATTCGCATTCTGATTGGTCCGTTAGAACGGGAATGGATCACGGGGTTTGTGCGGGTATACCGAATTGCGAGCCCTGGAGGATGTATTGACATTAACGAATAAGCAAAATTTCGACAAGCAAGATTTATAGTTAAAGGGATTAAAGCCTAAATGCAAAAGAAAACAACATTGATCATCATTCAAATTAAAGGGCAATAAACAGACTTCAACATCTGTATGAATAATTAGATATTTATGTACATTCGTTTTTAAGGGAATAAAGTCTAGACAGCATGTATTGCAATTTGCTTTAACAAGACAATGCAGAAGAAAACAATATTGATCTTTATTCAAATTTCAAAGGCAAACGACAAGCTTCAACATCTGTCTCAATAATTAGAAATTTATGTATATTCGTTTCTGTCTGAAGAATGTCTAACACCATTTATTAGAATTTGTTTTAACTAGAAAATGCAGAAGGAAACAATCTTGATCATTATTCAGATTTCAAAGGCAAGCGACAAGCTTCAACATCTGTATGAATAATAAGAAATTTATGTACATTCGTTTCTAAGGGAATAATGTCTAGACAGCATGTGTTGCAATTTGCATTAACAAGAAAATGCAGAAGAAAACAATATTGATCATTATTCAAATTTCAAAGGCATACGACAAGCTTCAACATCTGTATTAATAATTAGAAATTTATGTAAATTCGTTTATGAGGGAATAATGTCTAAACAGCTTGTGTTGCAATTTGTATTAACTAGAAAATGCAGAAGAAAACAATATTGATCATTATTCAAATTTCAAAGGCAAACGACAAGCTTCAACATCTGTCTCAATAATTATAAATTTATGTACATTCGTTTCTAAGGGAATGAAGTCTAGACAGCATGTGTTGCAATTTGCTTATACAAGGAATGCAGAAGAAAAAACATTGATCATTATTCAATTTTCAAAGGCAAACGACAAGCTTCAACATCTGTATTAATAATTAGAAATTAGGTACATTCGTTTCTAAGGGAATGAAGTCTAGACAGCATGTGTTGCAATTTGCTTTAACTAGAAAATGCAGAAGAAAACAATATTGATCATTATTCAAATTTCAAAGGCAAACGACAAGCTTCAACATCTGTCTCAATAATTATAAATTTATGTACATTCGTTTCTAAGGGAATGAAGTCTAGACAGCAGGTGTTGCAATTTGCTTTAACTAGAAAATGCAGAAGAAAACAATATTGATCATTATTCAAATTTCAAAGGCAAACGAAAAGCTTCAACATCTGTCTCAATAATTATAAATTTATGTACATTCGTTTCTAAGGGAATGAAGTCTAGACAGCATGTGTTGCAATTTGCTTATACAAGGAATGCAGAAGAAAAAACATTGATCATTATTCAATTTTCAAAGGCAAACGACAAGCTTCAACATCTGTATTAATAATTAGAAATTAGGTACATTCGTTTCCAAGGGAATAAAGCCTAAACAGCACGTGTTGCAATGTGCATTAACTAGAAAATGCAGAAGAAAACAATATTGATCATTATTCAAATTTCAAAGGCAAACGAAAAGCTTCAACATCTGTCTCAATAATTAGAAATTTATGTACATTCGTTTCTGACTGAAAAATATCTAACACCTTTTATTACAATTTGTTTGAACTAGAAAATGCAGAAGAAAACAACATTGATCAATATTCAAATTTCAAAGACAAACGACAAGCTTCAACATCTGTCTCAATAATAAGAAATTAGGTACATTCGTTTCTAAGGGAATAAAGCCTAAACAGCACGTGTTGCAATTTGCATTAACTAGAAAATGCAGAAGAAAACAATATTGATCATTATTCAAATTTCAAAGGCAAACGACAAGCTTCAACATCTGTCTCAATAATAAGAAATTAGGTACATTCGTTTCTGAGGGAATAAAGTCTAAACAGCACGTGTTGCAATTTGCTTTAACTAGAAAATACAGAAGAAAACAATATTGGTCATTATTTAAATTTCAAAGGCAAACGACAAGCTTCAACATCTGTATTAATAATTAGAAATTAGGTACATTCGTTTCCAAGGGAATAAAGCCTAAACAGCACGTGTTGCAATTTGCATTAACTAGAAAATGCAGAAGAAAACAATATTGGTCATTATTCAAATTTCAAAGGCAAACGACAAGCTTCAACATCTGTATTAATAATAAGAAATTAGGTACATTCGTTTCCAAGGGAATAAAGCCTAAACAGCACGTGTTGCAATTTGCATTAACTAGAAAATGCAGAAGAAAACAATATTGGTCATTATTCAAATTTCAAAGGCAAACGACAAGCTTCAACATCTGTATTAATAACTAGAAATGTATGTACATTCGTTTCTAAGGGAATAAAGCCTAAACAGCATGTGTTGCAATTTTCTTTAACTAGAAAATGCAGAAGAAAAAAATATTGATCATTATTCAAATTTCAAAGGCAAACGACAAGCTTCAACATCTGTCTCAATAATTATAAATTTATGTACATTCGTTTCTAAGGGAATGAAGTCTAGACAGCATGTGTTGCAATTTGCTTATGCAAGGAATGCAGAAGAAAACAACATTGGTCATTATTCAAATTTCAAAGGCAAACGACAAGCTTCAACATCTGTATTAATAATTAGAAATTAGGTACATTCGTTTCCAAGGGAATAAAGCCTAAACAGCACGTGTTGCAATTTGCATTAACTAGAAAATGCAGAAGGAAACAATCTTGATCATTATTTAAATTTCAAAGGCAAACGACAAGCTTCAACATCTGTAATAATAATTAGAAATTTATGTACATTCGTTTCTAAGGGAATAAAGCCTAAACAGCACGTGTTGCAATTTGCATTAACTAGAAAATGCAGAAGAAAACAATATTGATCATTATTCAAATTTCAAAGGCAAACGACAAGCTTCAACATCTGTCTCAATAATTAGAAATTTATGTACATTCGTTTCTGACTGAAAAAATATCTAACACCTTTTATTACAATTTGTTTGAACTAGAAAATGCAGAAGAAAACAACATTGATCAATATTCAAATTTCAAAGACAAACGACAAGCTTCAACATCTGTCTCAATAATACGAAATTAGGTACATTCGTTTCTGAGGGAATAAAGTCTAAACAGCACGTGTTGCAATTTGCTTTAACTAGAAAATACAGAAGAAAACAATATTGGTCATTATTTAAATTTCAAAGGCAAGCGACAAGCTTCAACATCTGTATTAATAATTAGAAATTAGGTACATTCGTTTCCAAGGGAATAAAGCCTAAACAGCACGTGTTGCAATTTGCATTAACTAGAAAATGCAGAAGAAAACAATATTGATCATTATTCAAATTTCAAAGGCAAACGACAAGCTTCAACATCTGTCTCAATAATTATAAATTTATGTACATTCGTTTCTAAGGGAATGAAGTCTAGACAGCATGTTTTGCAATTTGCTTATGCAAGGAATGCAGAAGAAAACAACATTGGTCATTATTCAAATTTCAAAGGCAAGCGACAAGCTTCAACATCTGTCTCAATAATTATAAATTTATGTACATTCGTTTCTAAGGGAATGAAGTCTAGACAGCATGTGTTGCAATTTGCTTATGCAAGGAATGCAGAAGAAAACAACATTGGTCATTATTCAATTTTCAAAGGCAAACGACAAGCTTCAACATCTGTCTCAATAATTATAAATTTATGTACATTCGTTTCTAAGGGAATGAAGTCTAGACAGCATGTGTTGCAATTTGCTTTAACTAGAAAATGCAGAAGAAAAAAACATTGATCATTATTCAAATTTCAAAGGCAAACGACAAGCTTCAACATCTGTCTCAATAATTATAAATTTATGTACATTCGTTTCTAAGGGAATGAAGTCTAGACAGCATGTGTTGCAATTTGCTTATACAAGGAATGCAGAAGAAAACAACATTGGTCATTATTCAAATTTCAAAGGCAAACGACAAGCTTCAACATCTGTATTAATAATTAGAAATTTATGTACATTCGTTTCCAAGGGAATAAAGCCTAAACAGCACGTGTTGCAATTTGCATTAACTAGAAAATGCAGAAGAAAACAATATTGATCATTATTTAAATTTCAAAGGCAAACGACAAGCTTCAACATCTGTAATAATAATTAGAAATTTATGTACATTCGTTTCTAAGGGAATAAAGCCTAAACAGCACGTGTTGCAATGTGCATTTACTAGAAAATGCAGAAGAAAACAATATTGATCATTATTCAAATTTCAAAGGCAAACGACAAGCTTCAACATCTGTCTCAATAATGAGAAATTTATGTACATTCGTTTCTGACTGAAAAATATCTAACACCTTTTATTACAATTTGTTTGAACTAGAAAATGCAGAAGAAAACAACATTGATCAATATTCAAATTTCAAAGACAAACGACAAGCTTCAACATCTGTCTCAATAATAAGAAATTTATGTACATTCGTTTCTAAGGGAATGAAGTCTAGACAGCATGTGTTGCAATTTGCTTATACAAGGAATGCAGAAGAAAACAACATTGGTCATTATTCAATTTTCAAAGACAAACGACAAGCTTCAACATCTGTCTCAATAATAAGAAATTAGGTACATTCGTTTCTGAGGGAATAAAGTCTAAACAGCACGTGTTGCAATTTGCTTTAACTAGAAAATACAGAAGAAAACAATATTGGTCATTATTTAAATTTCAAAGGCAAGCGACAAGCTTCAACATCTGTATTAATAATTAGAAATTAGGTACATTCGTTTCCAAGGGAATAAAGCCTAAACAGCACGTGTTGCAATTTGCATTAACTAGAAAATGCAGAAGAAAACAATATTGATCATTATTCAAATTTCAAAGGCAAACGACAAGCTTCAACATCTGTCTCAATAATAAGAAATTATGTACATTCGTTTCTGAGGGAATAAAGTCTAAACAGCACGTGTTGCAATTTGCTTTAACTAGAAAATACAGAAGAAAACAACATTGGTCATTATTTAAATTTCAAAGGCAAGCGACAAGCTTCAACATCTGTATTAATAATTAGAAATTAGGTACATTCGTTTCCAAGGGAATAAAGCCTAAACAGCACGTGTTGCAATTTGCATTAACTAGAAAATGCAGAAGAAAACAATATTGGTCATTATTCAAATTTCAAAGGCAAACGACAAGCTTCAACATCTGTCTCAATAATTATAAATTTATGTACATTCGTTTCTAAGGGAATGAAGTCTAGACAGCATGTGTTGCAATTTGCTTATGCAAGGAATGCAGAAGAAAACAACATTGGTCATTATTCAAATTTCAAAGGCAAACGACAAGCTTCAACATCTGTCTCAATAATTATAAATTTATGTACATTCGTTTCTAAGGGAATGAAGTCTAGACAGCATGTGTTGCAATTTGCTTATACAAGGAATGCAGAAGAAAACAACATTGGTCATTATTCAAATTTCAAAGGCAAACGACAAGCTTCAACATCTGTATTAATAATTAGAAATTTATGTACATTCGTTTCCAAGGGAATAAAGCCTAAACAGCACGTGTTGCAATTTGCATTAACTAGAAAATGCAGAAGAAAACAATATTGATCATTATTTAAATTTCAAAGGCAAACGACAAGCTTCAACATCTGTATTAATAATTAGAAATGATTGTACATTCGTTTCTAAGGGAATGAAGTCTAGACAGCATGTGTTGCAATTTGCTTTAACTAGAAAATGTAGAAGAAAACAACACTGAACATTATTCAAATTTCATGTATTCATTTCCAAAATATTTCTTAAATGACAGTAAACATCAGTCGCATAAAAGCAACATCTCTCAAGATTTTCTATATATACAATATAAGGCCATAATACTATGTTGGCAATAAAGTAACAACACACACAGCACAATGTACATTGGATTTCGAAAACATTTCTAAAATGACAGTGAACATCAATCGCATAAAAGCAACATCTCTCTCTATATATATGCATATAACAATATAAGGCCATAATACTATGTTGGCAATAAAGTAACAACACACAGTACCTCCAGACATGATACTGAAGGTAAAAAGCTTTGAACGTGTATGTTATAACCTCATCATTGAAGCAAGCCTCGGTCTTGCTATCTGTTCAAGTACATTTGAATAGGTCATATCTTAAGGCCAATACTACATATCCTTCTTTGGACAAAATGATATGCTTATATGCTATTCAATGACTCTTAATTGTACATAGTTGTTCAAGTAATCAAAACTTCAACGACAGAGAATAATCAATCCCGATTATCTGTCGAATCAGATTTTATGGGCATAGAAGGCTACATAATGATAAAGATGATATGAATGGGCCATTTGATACCTCTAATACCAACATTCGCTAAAATGGTTAGCATATCCTTTTACGTGACAATCAAACAATTTTTACAAGAAGGTAAGTGCAAGTGGGGAAGCAGGTGCAAAGGTCATAGCATATTGACAAGCGATTCGTCATACGTCGTAAATTCCTCTGAATGTATACCATGCAATTTCTAGAATGGAATATGGTCTTTGATGACTTAATCGAAATTTTGTCCAGGGCCATTCAGATAATATAACACAATTATTAGATAATCGCTTATGGTTGTTATGTTAAAATAAGGGTATCTGAACTTAATCAAAAATAAATAAATATACAGGATAAAATTCTCTGCTATCTTATTTGGTAATGTAAGACAAAAAGTGCTTAACATTTGACCAGGTGTGCATATCATCCTGCAGACTGGTACTGAACACACACAAAAAACGGATAATGATATAAATAAATAGAACGTTTTTCGGTGTGAATGACAATTGAGTTGTGCTTTATAAGCCTTAAGAAAACAGAAGGAAGACCTTCGTATTCCCTTTATCTGATTTTCGAAATAAAACTGACCTGTCATTGGCTAAATGCTAAGGACGGGGATGAAGTTTGGTCTGCCACTGATTCGTTGGCCATTTGACAATACAACATGTTCTAGTATTAGGGGCCGAACAATGTACAATCTGTTGTTGGCCTGGGATTTAAGTTTTGAAGCATTGATTGAAATATTGTGTCTACAAATCCGAGGTCCTCATCATCAGATAATCAGTCTGTTCCTTACTCTTGTTTTGCAAACAGTTCCAGTTGTGTATGCTACCTAGCATCGATTAGATCGACATAGAGCATATCCATGACCTTATCCCGGTTGCATGTTTGAACTGGTTTTGTCATCAAATCTTGGTAAGAGGCCAAATTCTCTTTCGTCCCTTAAGATATGCAATGACTCTTCCACAGTCAAGAAGGACCACTACGACAAACGGAAGTACAGTAAGTACGATTCCCATCGACCCGATGGATTTAGCAGATGGGCGATCGTCCTTTGCCGATGTTTTCTTGCGTCTGAAGGATGAGAGGGTGTGTTTTTCCAAAATCAATGCTTTTATAAGTTGTGCCATTTCAAACTCTGAAGGCGTGGCTGACGAAACGCAAACACAATTGTTGGCATTGGTCGAACTGTAAATGAAGCCTGAAAAGGGAATAAGAACAAATAAAATAAGTTGATGCATGCACGGGTAAGGAGTATGCGCAGTGTCTGAGCTGACGGTACATCAGTGTGCCTTCTGAGCACAATACTCTGTAAAAGTGTGATTAGTCATGTGTCCTTATGAACTTCAAATATAAAGTTCATATCATCAACTGTAATGATATATTAACTGAACCGCAAAAGAAACGTCACCCCAAGTTACATTGCATGAACGTTGTCTTTTAAATATCTGGGTAATTTTTGTCAAAGTTTCTTTAATTTAACATTACCTTAGTTAATATTAGTTAAAAGCCGCGTTAAACCTTACTCACTCACTCACTCATTACATCAGTCTTTGCCCAGGAGTATACTGAAAGAATGCTACATAAACCTAAAGTTTAAATCCTTTAAAGTTTCTAAAAGAAACGTCACCTCAAGTAACATTGCATGAAAAGTTGTCATTTAAATATATGGGTAATATTTGTCAAATGTTCTAAAATTTAACATTACCTTGTCCGGAAAAAATGAAATTTGATGATAAAAAACTATAGCAGATGACAATAACACGCCCAAACGCATCACGACAACGGCCATGGTAACCCGATGCACGTGAGTTCCGTTCAAATTGAAATGCACATGCGTTTCCCCATTTCTTGCCCTATAAAAATCCACCCAGATCGGATTACATTCATTCGTTATTGATTTGCTACCACATGCCAAGATTGACAAGAAATCAGCGACACCAAGCCTTTGGACGATTGCAAGCTGGACAAACCGACCGACAAGTAGCCAATGCATTTCAAGTCAACGTAAGGACCATGTACAGGCTCCAGCAATCGTACTTGACCACTAACACTACAGATGACCGACCGCGTAGTGGAAGACCATGGGTCACCATCAGGATGGTCAGATTGTGCGACAGCACCTTCAAGATCGCTTTGTTACTGCTGCGGAAACTGCTCGACAGACCATGGGGACACACCAGCGACACATTAGTGAGGACACCAGGACCATCTTCAGTGGGCAACACAGCACCAGCTTTGGCGCCACCAACAGTGCAGAATCATCCTCTTCTCAGACGAGACTGTATCTCAACAGCAGATGGCAGAGAAAGAGAGTCTGGCGACGCCGTGAGGAACGTTATTCGGATGCTTGTGTCGAGAGAGGCTCATTGGGTGGTCCGAGCATCATGGTGTGGGATGGAATTGGTCTTGCACAGAGGGTCGGCCTTGTGGTCTTCCAGAACATCTGTCCAGGGAGATACAATGGTGGCACAGCAGCTCGGTACATTGATCAAGTCTTGAGACCACGCGCCATACCTCATTTGGCACGTCGCCGCAACCACGAGTTTCAGCATGATAACGCCCGTGTCCACACTGCGAGAGAAACAAGATACTTCCTCCAGCAGAATGGCTGCAGTGGCCTGCCCTCACTCCCGATTTAAATCCCATTGAACACATGTGGGACGAGATTCAAAGACGGCTAAATGGCGTCCGACCAAGGCCAACAACTGCAGCTGAACTGCATCAGAGTGTGGGCTTAAGTGCCTATGGCCTTCAACCGCCTCATCCATTCCATGTATCGACGTTGCACGGCAGTCATCAATGTACATGGCGGACACACGAAAACTGACTTGTGATGCCATTTTCTCATAGGCTAGTGTTGTGTTTCACTATAAGAACATTTGTCACATTAATTTCAGCCTTGATGATCAGTTTTGCCAAGTTTCATCTTTTTAATATGGCTCAAAGTATGTTTATAGTGTTTGGACAAATAAGGTTTCTCATATATCTATCCGTGGTGACGTTTCTTTTGCGGTTCAGTATATATATTGACTTGCAGATCAAAGGTGACACAACAGACTATTGCGGCGAAAAAGGCTGTCTAGATTACGCCCCTTAGTCGATATGTTTGATCCCACAAAATCCCAATGATGTTCCAAAGTATGTCTATCCAAACCCATGTTGTTAGGTTAAGATGCTCGCTTGCTTTCAGTGTATTCCATCATTGCGGCGTCCCGGAATATTTTACAGAAGCCCGCTTAATTGATGCAGAATCTTTCCTTTTTGCAAACATCCCTTTTGTGCAGAACTCGTAGAGAATTGAGCATTTTCTGCAGACACTTACAATGTGAATCGAAAGCCGGTCCTGAACATACAGATGTTGCATAGCCTCAGAGAAACTAACCGTAATATGTAAATTTACTGTTTTCTATTTCTGTTTTAATAAATGTATTAATATAATTTTAGAATAAGAAAAGAAAATTATACAATAGCATTTTACATTTTACTATTTTGAAATCAGTATTCCAATTTTCCGTTTGTTATTACCACACGCATGTGTCTAACTGTCTCAAACTGTGACTGTCAGTCATTGCAAAGAGGCTTCAATTCATAAAAATATAATGAAGCTTTTCTGCGAAATTTACCAAAATGTTCCTCAAAGCACTTTGAATTTTAGGCCACGGAGGTACTCATGGGCGGCATGATGTGATACAACTGAACTATTGTTCAAAGGAGCAAAGCAGTTGTTCAATATATCTCTTCAATATTGAAACCAATATAAGATGTCAGCATTATAACATGTTCCCTAAGAGGCGCAGGAAAAGATTGGAAGGAACAGTGGTTCCGAAACCGGGCATTATCTTATCATTATAATATCAAATCAAACCAAATGTTGTTATACCTGATGCTGACGTTGATCCACATGGGTATGTCGTGGTTAACGCGGACGTCACCCCATCTGATTGCGATGTCGTGTTGTCTGTCATTGATGACGCTATGTACACGTCTGTCGTTGTTGCTTCTGGTGTTGTCGTCGTTCCATGTGATGTCGTCGTCAAACTATCTGGTGTAGTCGTCATTCCATCTGGTGTAGTCGTCAATCCATCTGGTGTAGTCGTCATTCCATCTGGTGTTGACGTCATTCCATCTGGTGTTGTCGTCAATCCATCTGGTGTAGTCGTCATTCCATCTGGTGTAGTCGTCAATCCATCTGGTGTAGTCGTCATTCCATCTGGTGTAGTCGTCATTCCATCTGGTGTAGTCGTCAATCCATCTGGTGTAGTCGTCAATCCATCTGGTGTAGTCGTCATTCCATCTGGTGTAGTCGTCAATCCATCTGGTGTAGTCGTTATTCCATCTGGTGTAGTCGTCATTCCATCTGATGTAGTCGTCATTCCATCTGGTGTAGTCGTCATTCCATCTGGTGTAGTCGTCAATCCGTCTGGTGTAGTCGTCAATCCATCTGGTGTAGTCGTCAATCCATCTGGTGTAGTCGTCAGTCCATCTGGTGTAGTCGTCAATCGATCTGGTGTAGTCGTCAATCCATCTGGTGTAGTCGTCATTCCATCTGACGTTGACGTCATCCCATGTGATGTCGTCGTCAGTTGTGTAGTTGTTGACCCATGTTGAGACGTGGCAGTGGTTTGATCACAGGTAACTTTGTTGTAGTACTTGTTTTGGGGGACACTTGGAGTAGTGTCTGCTATTTTTGCTGAAGCACAAATGGAATTCATGTTCTTTACAGTTTGGCAAGTTGGTCCAAAAATTGGTACAAAGAGAGATATTTCTTCAGGAAAAAGAACTCGTAACTCGTATTGTTAGTATTTCCCGCGAAACAATCAACATAATATGCCAGAAAATCATTGTTTTAGTTTACAAAGTATCAGCCCACACGTACCTTCATAACATCGTTTTAGATAGACAGTCGACTGAGAATTCATCGGCAGCTGAGGTGTAGAAACGGTTAAGTGACGGTAACTTCCGGTATACGTTCGACAGAAAGAGCCATCGTGTCGAATAGCAACACAGGGGCTATCTTCACTGTTCCTCTCCAGACAGGACTTCTTGCACGCCCTAACAGTATAGTTTGTCGTTGGAGATTCGTTTAAACCCAACACCTCTTGGCCTTCTCCTTCAGTAAACCAGCACCCTGGTACGTATAATTAGAATTAGAATTAGACACTATTACACACTTTTATTGAGGAGATAAACGATAGAATGAGATGGCGACATGAAAAATGGGGGTGAGGTGAACGGCGCGTCCAAGATTGTTGCACTTATACAGCGACGTGCATGCACGTGTGTGTGGGGCTGCTTGTACTAGTCCGGACTAATGCCGATTTATACTGCTAGCCCACGTCACATCCTTCCGTGGTTACTGATCACACCTGATTAGCAGAATGTGGAAAAGACAACTTAATCGAAGTGGTTCTGATAAGTATTGATCAAACCTAATACTTACTGGTGTCCCTTTCGCAAACCCGAATGGCATACGTTTTTCTATTTGGGATTGAGTGAGTGAGTGAGTGAGTGAGTGAGTTTGGTTTAACGCCGCTTTGAACAGTATTCCAGTTCTATCACGACGTGTCAGCTTAATGTGGGAGGACAGCCCGAAGTGATGCAGGTCTCAGACGTTTACCACTTCGGTGAAACCCACGAGCACAGGTATGGTGCTGACAAACCTAGAAACATGATCCGGGCGAACCGGGATTCGAACCCACAATCATAGGTCTCAATCATAGGCCCAAGGGACGCAACTCTGCATAGCGAATCGCGGCGCCTTAGGCGTCTGGGCCACCCGTGCCCCCATTGGGATTGAGAAAACAACATACTTATCAATGAAAATATTTCAAATTGACGTTTTTAACCCACCAGATTGCAGGAGACACGTCCATTAGTTTCTCATTGTTGAATACATTTGTGAATTTAAAACGGCAACATCTGGTAATTGAGACTCAATAGACTACGACTGAATGCTCTTTGGGTGAGTATGTGGAACCTTTAATTAGCATTAGTATCGTATCAAAAAGACATTTAGGAAACTTACTTTGTTTCCTCAATGTTGATTTAGGTTACCTGTAGATTTAATTCCAAATGTAAAATTCCTCACAGTTAAATCTGCTGATGAACTAGCTCTGCGTTGAAAACACATCATGTTTGTCTCCAGTCTACCATGACAGAAGTATACGCGAACTCTTTGGTGTTTGCGACGATATTGAACGACGCGGCAAGCGTTGATTCCATTGTTTTGAGTGGGTTGTCGAGATAAATTGAGTAACCACCGATAATGGCCATAACACGGGCTGTGGTATATTTTCAAACATTGATTTTTAGCATCATTATAATTTCCTCGCATATAAAACAGTCATTGGAAGTAAGCCAACACGAAGTGGACAACCAAAAAGAATATTAAGTAAGCCTCACAAGGTTTACTCCAAATGTCACTATTATGACGTCACGCCGTTCATTGTGACGCACAAAATATGACAGTTCTGTCGGCTGTTGACAAGCGCCAAATGTCAAGCTCGCTGTGGCCCATTAAAACTTAAAATACACTCTCGTAGTGGATTTATATCGTGTGCTCTGCCTAAAATGTATTGCCACGCATACTTTGTATATTGATGTAATTGCAAATCTCCATTTTGTAACTTATAACTGCACATATTATTATTAAAAAATGCCCACTGATAATATGTACTGTTATAAATATATCTCCCGCGGTGATCAGGCCGTCTCATCGGCTGTTTTAATCAGAGATGGTAATAACCTGGTAATTGTGATTTGATACCTCTCATTGACTAATTTAAAAAACAAAAAACATGGAAAAATGGGTATTAATAACATTAAACGTCTTAAAGCACATCGTTCAAGCACTTACCAGTTTCATTTTCGCATACTGCTGCATACAGTTTATTACATTCCTTGGTCCTGTACCACTGAGCCAGTGTATAACAAACGCAGTTTTCCAACCCCTTATTGTTAGGTTCAATATCCAGCCATTTTGAAAATGCTCCGAGTGAAGTACAGTCTGTCCATCTGAACACAAAGGCAGTACCGGTATTCGGCGTCAGGTCAAAGAGACCCATCCAGAGGTCAGACGTCCTGAAACAAAAATCAGTTAAGGCACTACACAGATACTACTGATATAAACACCGTTCTTGGAGCTGTTTAGTATTAGTAATGTTGACGTGAAAGTAGTTTAGTGATAGTAATATTTTCTGTAGCTGTTGCAGCATTAATACTGGTTGTGGAAATAATTGTATTGATAGTATTATCATCTGCCCCTTCTCTCAGGCGTTTACCACTGTCATAGCAAATATGTAATTCGGCCCTAATCCAGGATTAGAACCCACGATCAGCGGATCCTGGTATGGACAAAGGGCGAAATTCTGCACAGCGGATTGCGGTGTCCATGGCAACTTGCAGTCATATTTCCCTGAGCCATCCATAATTCAAAAACGGACTTATCGTGTTTTGTTCAGATGAACAATTGACATGCGAAAACTTATCATCGGTATTTGATTGTGGTTCATAAAGACATGCCTATGATATAGTCGGAATCTTACAATGGATTATCCTAGGATATTTCTTATAATATGATCATTGAAAGTTTTTGTTGTTGCTTTTATCACATAACCCGATGTAAGGAATTCAACCAGGCCTTCGCGCTGAAGAGCGAACACCGCACCCACTAGGCTACCCATTATCTGTCTTGAATATTTCCCAACGAAAAGTATATATAAATATGCAATGCAAGAGAATAACCAGTCTAGATTATCCGCCGAAACAGATTATAATTTTGACGTAAAGGGCCAAATAGCTGCAAAGATTATACGAATAAACCACTGAAAATCAGTGATGACACCAGGTGCTAGCGAAACGGAAAAGCATTTTCCCGTCCGTCATTCAAACATTTTGCATAAAAAGTAAGTATTTATTGCCTGAAGCTACAAAAACTCAATCTCTTTGCGTGTTAAGAAGCATTGCCATTTTGAATCAATGAAAGAAAGCTAAGAACAAAACCTCAAACTTACAAAACTGTTTCACTTGTCCATTGTTCCAAAAACAAATTGAAAATATCGAGTTCTCTGGCCGTCTTAAATCGGAGCATTTGTTGTCCTTGACTTTCGCACATTGCACGTGTCTTATCCCAAGTATGCAAGCCCTCGTACAGTGTAAAGATCTTCCCGCAGCTGGAATGCAGAATATATTCTGAAAAGTAAATATAATTTCCATTAATTTAGTTATGCACATGCGGAATATCTAATGGCATATCTAATGGAGACATAAATCTAAGAAAATGGCGAGTTTCAGGGGAACTTCAAAGAGACAAAGGGACCCGGTCACCATTAATCGGGAGCTGCATAAGTATATGCCGATTGGGTTTACTCCCAATTGCGAAATGTAATTCATGCAATGTGTCTTCAAATGCTTCAAATGATTCACCTTACACCCTCATGAAGTTAACAAAGCAACCATAACATCACCATCAATGAAACAGTTCATGCAGTGTTTTTTCATATGCTTCAAATGATTCACCCCACACCCTCTTAACGTTAACATGTTGAACATGGCATCACCACCAATGAAACAGTTCATGCAGTGTGTCTTTATATGCTTCACATGGTTCACCCCACACCCTCATGACGTTAACATGTTGAACATGACATTACCACCAATGAAACAGTTCATGCAGTGTGTCTTCATATGCTTCAAATGGTTCACCCCACACCCTCATGACGTTAACATGTTGAACATGACATCACCACTACTGAAACAGTTCATGTAGTGTGTCTTCATATGCTTCAAATGATTCAACCCACACCCTCACGACGTTAACATGTTGAACATGACATCACCACCACTGAAACAGTTCATGCAGTGTGTCTCCATATGCTTCAAATGATTCACCCCACACCCTCATGACGTTAACATGTTGAACATGACATCACCACCACTGAAACAGTTCATGCAGTGTGTCTCCATATGCTTCAAATGATTCACCCTACACCATCATGACGTTAACATGTTGAACATGACATCACCACCAATGAAACAGTTCATACAGTGTGCCTTCATATGCTTCAAATGATTCACCCCACACCCTCTTGACGTTAACATGTTGAACATGACATTACCACCACTGAAAGAGTTCATGCAGTGTGTCTTCATATGCTTCAAATGGTTCACCCCACACCCTCATGACGTTAACATGTTGAACATGACATCACCACAAATGAAACAGTTCATGCAGTGTGTCTCCATATGCTTCAAATGATTCATCCCACACCCTCATGACGTTAACATGTTGAACATGACATCACCACCAATGAAAGAGTTCATACAGTGTGCCTTCATATGCTTCAAATGATTCACCCCACACCCTCATGACGTTAACATGTTGAACATGACATCACCACCACTGAAAGAGTTCATGCAGTGTGTCTCCATATGCTTCAAATGATTCACCCCACACCCTCATGACGTTAACATGTTGAACATGACATCACCACCACTGAAACAGTTCATGCAGTGTGTCTTCATATGCTTCAAATGATTCAACCCACACCCTCATGACGTTAACATGTTGAACATGACATCACCACCAATGAAACAGTTCATGCAGTGTGTCTTCATATGCTTCAAATGATTCACCCCACACCCTCTTGACGTTAACATGTTGAACATGACATTACCACCACTGAAACAGTTCATGCAGTGTGTCTTCATATGCTTCAAATGGTTCACCCCACACCCTCATGACGTTAAAATGTTGAACATGACATCACCTCCACTGAAACAGTTCATGCAGTGTGTCTTCATATGCTTCAAATGATTCAACCCACACCCTCATGACGTTAACATGTTGAACATGACATCACCACCAATGAAACAGTTCATGCAGTGTGTCTTCATATGCTTCAAATGATTCACCCCACACCCTCATGACGTTAACATGTTGAACATGACATCACCACCAATGAAACAGTTCATGCAGTGTGTCTCCATATGCTTCAAATGATTCATCCCACACCCTCGTGACGTTAACATGTTGAACATGACATCACCACCAATGAAAGAGTTCATACAGTGTGCCTTCATATGCTTCAAATGATTCACCCCACACCCTCATGACGTTAACATGTTGAACATGACATCACCACCAATGAAACAGTTCATGCAGTGTGTCTCCATATGCTTCAAATGATTCACCCCACACCCTCATGACGTTAACATGTTGAACATGACATCACCACCACTGAAACAGTTCATGCAGTGTGTCTTCATATGCTTCAAATGATTCACCCCACACCCTCATGACGCTAACATGTTGAACATGACATCACCACCACTGAAACAGTTCATGCAGTGTGTCTTCATATGCTTCAAATGATTCACCCCACACCCTCATGACGTCTACATGTTGAACATGACATCACCACCACTGAAACAGTTCATGCAGTGTGTCTCCATATGCTTCAAATGATTCACCCCACACCCTCATGACGTTAACATGTTGAATATGACATCACCACCAATGAAACAGTTCATGCAGTGTGTCTCCATATGCTTCAAATGATTCACCCAACACCATCGAATTGAACCACAAATGAAACAGTTCATGCAGTGTGTCTTCATATGCTTCAAATGATTCACCCCACACCATCATGACGTTAACATGTTGAACATGACATCACCACCAATGAAACAGTTCATGCAGTGTGTCTCCATATGCTTCAAATGATTCACCCCACACCCTCATGACGTTAACATGTTGAACATGACATCACCACCACTGAAACAGTTCATGCAGTGTGTCTTCATATGATTCAAATGATTCTCCCCACACCCTCATGACGTTAACATGTTGAACATGACATCTCCACCACTGAACGAAAACAAGTGCTTCAGAAAGGTGCAAGTATCGGCATAGCTCTTCAACAAGTGGAAGCTTCTTCATCCCATCCTGCAGGCCATCCTTCTACCAGACCTATACCATCTCGAGCTGACAAAGGTCAGGACATTGTTACTGGAAAGCATGACAGCAAAGCCATATTTAGACCAGACAAGATCAGTGTCTTGTTAATGGTTTCAAACATGGCTTAAATAAGGAATAGAGAATTAGTTAAACCCTCAAATGTCACAACTAAAAGTGTAGAGAAGATGACACGTGTAGATTTCCTGGGCACTTTGACTACCCTAATTTAAATATTCCCCACTGAGGTGAGCACCGAATAATGTTCCAATGGACGACAGGTTAATTTATCATCCAAAACTGGCTCCCACGGGAGATATCGCTTTGGTGAGATCAAGCGATATCTATACTGTATATGTCGCTGCAATGAAATTGCATCACAATGCTTTGCAGACCATTGTGACGTCATTGGTTACCATGACGTCACAATCAAATGACATCACTAATGGCTCTGCTACCGAAGCTGTAAGCAGTACTTTTTACACTAAAGACACTGCTTATTACTTTCTACAAACTGAAAAAAAGTGGAAGAATGATGATAAATAAAATCTCACCCTCGTGTCTTTTGATATCAAATATATCAACACTCGTTGATAAAAGTCGAAAGAAATCCTCCGCAAGCCTCGGAGTTTTCCCCACTTTTATCAACTCGTGTTGATATATTTGATATCAAAAGACACGAGGGTGAGATTCTTTATATATTACTTATCATATGCAGAAGGTGATACTGTAAATGATGTCATTGATGAGAGCGTGTTTTCTGTACAGTATGCTCAATTTTAACAAGCAATTGTACTTGTACAGCAGTTAGGACAACGAGCATTGCCTGGAAATAGAAAATGCTTTTCATTTGATTCTAGTCTGGCTTGGAAACGTTACGTCATAAGGATTTACACTAAGCAATAAATCAATAAATTGTGTTTAGCAATGGGATGATCGGGAAGCTCTTTGTTGAGAAACGTGTTCTACTTTCATTGAATAGGCTTCTGATTGTAGATTACAACTTCAACAGAGTAAGCATTCCAACTCTTGACACACCTTTGGGAGATAGCACAGACCTTGGTGGCCTATTGCCAGTGGGTAAAGTGGCCTTTGTGAACAAACTGACATTTTTAGGCCTTAAGCTTGATACAATTAACTTGTGAGTTAGAGTGCAAGAGGATATGGTCTGCCGTACTTTGTCATGTACATGTAACAGACTTCTTGTAACTAGGTGAGATTGAGAGAAACTCTATCCCTCCAGGCTTTATTGAATGTCCTCATGTAATGCAGTGCCAACCAGGTTTACCAAATGTCTCATGTATTATAGTCCCCACTGGGTTTCGCGTTAAGAAGGCATTACGTTGGGCGTTGGCTCAAGCCAAGGTAGGAATCGTTTCTGGAGCTTTACTCGTAAACATTTTTTTATCATTTCTTTGTGAAACTTTGTACACAGATCAAGCAAGTGCTGAACTGATGCCACTTAGCCAGGAATTTTCTAGATTTGTAATTTTTGCGTTTCCTGGGTGGACCTGGGTTCAATCGATGGTACTGATTGTTTCCGAAACATAATGCAACAGTTGTTTGTCATTTCTTTGTTAAACTTTGTATACACATTAAGGAAGTGTTGAACCGGTGTCCCTTTGAATCAATACTTAACTGTCATTCTTAGAGGAATGCTATTCACGGTCAAACGTAAAGTTAACAGAAATGCTGTTCCTACTGGGTTTGTTAAATTGTCTAAAGTAATGCAGTGACTCCAGGCGTTATGGAACACCTGGTATTATCACTATGTGACAGTGGTTCATACACTCAGGCTAATATACATGTAGTTGAAATCGTACAATGGACTCGTTTTGCAGAGATTTTGTTATGATAATGGAAATGGTTTTGTCGCTTTTAGTTATTCCAATCCATAGTACCCGGGGCAGTGACCTCACCACAGATATAGATCGACCACAGGCATGGCAAATAGTTTTGAAGGAGTTCATTGGAGCACCTTTAACTAGATCAAGGTCCTAAAGCAAAGATCTGGAAATATTTACTGACAGTGCTGGTAGACAAGGCAAAGGGTTTGATATTTATTACAGTGGGGAGTGTTCCTGTGGAGCATGGCCAGTTAAATGAGTACAACCAGCTTTAACTGATAATATCCCTCGTTTCGAATATTGTCTTGTCGCTGTTGCAGCTGAAATATCGGGCAACAACCTGGGCGAGAGAAAGGTTTTATTTTAATCTGACAACCAGGCTGTTGATTGCATAAACACGACGTCCGAAGATCGGATTCAGTCATGTCCCTTTTGAGACACTTTTCCTTTCGCTGCTTGGTGTTCAGTTAGGGATACACCGAAGGGGAGGAATGTCCCAGATGACACGCTTTCCTGGTTTCATTTGGGAAAATTCCGACTGCTTACTACCAGAGCAGATTGGACACCAGTAATTTTTCAGACACTGCATGGAGCATTCGAGAATACAGGGCTGTTGTTCGAAGATGATTTACCTATCTCATCACCCAGAGATAACATACAGGGGACTCTGAACGCTGATTGCAATTCGTCACATCAAACGTCGTAGGAATCAATCACTAATTTGTAGTACGGACTCTTAGCTGGAATAGTGCTTATTGTGACAGTAAACATTTGGCACATTAGCGAATTGACAGCATAGCCACTGTCGAAACCACTTACCACCAATCGTTAATGATTTTTATAAAAGTCACGGTCTATTATGTAACGGATAGAAGCACTTGCTTGACTGTGCTAGGTGTTCAGGTTTGAAAGTTTCCTTGAGACACTCTACCAAGTTTTTTTCCTTACTTTTACATCAGACAACATTCTCAGTTTATTATTTATTACAGCACCATTTAACGATGCATTGTTGTCAATATCCATGTGAAGTATGTGTGCATCCTTTGTTATGGTTTATGTATGTGCGTAAAGTGGCAGCAAGTCAGACATGTATATTGACAATTAGTAACATGAACACACATTGGCTTGGTGTCACATAGCTGAACTATTGCTGCATGTGTCGTTAAATAACAATAAAACATATAGCTAAAGTGATATGCTTGGTTGTCATTCAACAATAAGTGCACATGTACTAGTGAGGGGGAGGGGGGGGGAGGGGGTGGGGGGTGGGGGGGGGGTGGGGGGGGGTGGGGGGGGTGGGGGGTAGCCCAGTGGTTGAAACGTTCGCCAGGTAACAACAGTTTCCGATATCCACTAAAACAGATTCCATTGAGTTTAAAAGGCAGAATATCAGTGATGACACCAGGTGTTCCCGAAGAGTGTAAATCATGGTGACAATATATGAAGTAATCTGTATCAACACAACAACAGATTATTTTCATGAAATAATATTATCATGAATTTTGAAAGGGTTTTGTCTCTTTTATTTTAAACTGTAGTTAAACTTGTTACCAAGAATATATCATATGGGACAGTTTAAATACAGATAGTCTCAGTTGCAGATGATCAAAACGCCTTGCACATTTGACAAACTATGTAGACATTCAATACAGGTTAACCAAGCTAGAAAATATAACAGATACGATTACCGAACCGAGAAATGATCATCAATATCAATTATATACCACAAGCTGAAACAGTATGTTTACAATGTACAGTACACTACGTTTATAACGAACACGTATCAGTGGTCCCTTTGAGTTCGTAATGACCGTACTTTACAGTATGTGAAACATGTGTATGTCGGGTGAAGAGATGATTCATTTATTGAAAATAATAAGAAATCCTATATAGTGACCACTGGGGTCATAACTACGATATACTATTGCCTTTCTCCGCTTTTCTGCAGTCTCTTCTTGAGAATTTGTTTGTACTTTAGTGTCTCTAAAAGAGGGATTTTATCGTACTTACCAAGATATATAACTGTGATTGAAAGCAGACATTTCGGCAGATGCATTGTCACTTGAGAAGAAGTGAGAAGAGAAGCCTGAAATAAAAACAATTTCGGAAGTACATAATTTAACGCATGCATCATACCATTGTTGTTTTGTGTTTTATCGCCGCAATATTTCAGTTGAGGATACCAGTAAATGATCGAGTCTGGAGCAGGAATTCCAGTGATTGATATTGTGAGAAACGATCCACGCCGTCCAGGTACGTTGACACTAATCATCCAAGCCACGGAGCCTTGATCACCCAATCCATTGAGATCCATCCAGCAAAGGGGACCTATTCCAACCAGGATTACCCACGGTTCCATTTAAAAACCAAATTGACCATTTGAGATTATGATTGCTGAATGTATGAGACATCAAGTCAGTGTTTTGAACGGACTTTGTTCATAATTAATAGTCTTAGTATACGGAATTTCAATTTGAATGTAGCGCACAGCCAAATATATGAACGTAGGACCCATATATATTTCATGTTTTCCTATAAACTAGCTTCTTCCGGTGAAAAATAACAGGTCTTCAAAAACTAATTAAATACGTTAAACAAATAAAAATATTAATATTGTAATTGTAGTTACGGGTTTTCGACAAAATCGGTCACAAATTAAACTTACCCAATATGTAAGTCCCACTTGCACCAGTGGAACTCTTCTGTCTAGTGTCTGCTTACCATCATCACACCACTCAGAGTGACATTTATTATTAATGATGTGGATGACGTTCAAAGAAGTAGCTCTGAAACGTCGTTACAAAGAATCAAAGACGTTGCTGTCAAAAACAAATTCATGACCATACGTAATGGTAGTTTTCATGTGTGTAGGTTTTATGGGACGAAATCATTCTCTAGAACCCTTGGATATACGTCTCACAGAACTACTCACATTGCTATTATTAGATCGCCCTTTACAAGTTTGACTGAGCAACGACTCAACCTTTCTACAATATTAGGGTCGACCACGTGTGTGTGCGTGCGCGCGTGTGTGTATGTGTGTACATGTATATATGTGTCTACTGGTGTGTGTGTGTGTGTGTGTGGGGGGGGGGGGGGGGTGCAGTTCGTCTGTGTGGAATCACGTCAGTTGTGTGTATATGACTGCGTGTGTTTGAATATGCGTTTATGTAGGTAGGTAGGTAGGTAGGTAGGTAGGTAGGTAGGTAGGTAGGTAGGTAGGTAGGTAGGTAGGTAGGTATACCCAATGTTTTCATAACGTTTTCTTTCTGAAAATCCTAGATGTGTCCCGGATTATTTCGATGCTTTCTTCAAAGTTGTAAGTGTCTATGGGTCGTGTCCTGTAAGGCTAGATGAAATATTAAGATGACATGTTTTAACAAATATACTTTTCAAAGCCACTTTAATCCAATGCAATCATTTTGATGCGGGTTGCCACAAAATGTTAGTTATGCAATCTACCACAAAACATACATATCTTTTCAAGAGACTGGTCTCGAGAATTCCACTCAGGAATTCCTGTAAGTTTATTATTCAATCATTTAAGCAAAACACAGATAAAGGTGCTAACTCTTAACGTGTAGCAAAGCTCTTGTACTAAACTAATAGTTGTATACATATGGAATAAATAGAGGTTCAGAACACATTGAAATGAAACTTTTCTTGAAAATGTCAGTTTGATGAAATGTTTTGAAAGACAAATTTTTATTACTACAAATATGAATTTCGTAGTTTTGTACCCTGAACTTAATCAGTGTCAGAGGGCCAGGATATGGTATCTGTTTGCATAGTTACACTATATTGATTGGAGGTAACTCGTTATCAAGTGAACCACAAACTGTGGCATAAGGTATATATTTTAAGTAAAGGGCCGATTAAATTTGACGCCCCTTTTGAGATAAATGGTCGGCATGGATTCCTGATAATTTGAATGTCAAAATTGATCTTGGTTCAAATTTGACACAATCAATCACTTTTACTTCCAGGCCCGACCCTTAATTGCAAACACACCTCATTATGTGATCCATTTGTGTTGCTATTGCGTTCGAAGATAATATAGATACTAATATAACTCATGATTGTTGACTTTTGAATGGTTATACCTGTGTATATGGTTGAATAATATGGACACAACAAGCATGGTTATCCATTGGCAAGGACCACCTTTTGCGGCATCCTTGAAGAAGACCCTACCACAGTCCAGAACTACCACAACCACAAACGGAAGGACAAAGAAGACGATTTCCATCTTCCCGATGGTATGGGAAGATGGGCGATCATCCTTACCTGACGCCTTTACTGATGCGGACGTGACGGTCTTCTTGTCCAATACCAGCTGTTGAATGAGCAGTCGCATTTGCTCGACAGCAGGGCCATCGGATGAAAGCCATAAACATGACTGCTTGTAGCGATGCAGTTCAGGCCTGATGAAATGCAAAATCCCAACTGGTTCTTGTAACTTAGGAAGAATTAAAAAGAGTTCATTGATTGGTCATTAAACTTAATTATGTCCATTACATACTAATTTGTGAAAGTATAACGTGTAGAGTTTGAATAATCAATAAGTGGCTATGAAAAGAATGGGTCTGAGGAGTGGTTACGCCTTTTGGATACAAAACCAATTTGGAACTGCCACTGTTTAAAGCTGGATAAACCACAGCTCGTTGATGTGATCCGTCAATTGACTATGTCGATATGTCACGATTCCTATGATTGTGGGTTCGAATCCCGGTTCGCCCCTATTATGTTTCTAGGTTTGTCAGCACCATACCCGAGCTCGTGGGTTTCACCGAAGTGGTAAACGTCTGAGACCTGCATCACCTCGGGCTTTCCTCCCACATTAAGCTGACACACCGTGATATAACTGAAATACTGTTAAAAGTGGCGTTAAACCCAACTCACTCACTCTATTGAGTTCTACGCAGTTTCAATACAGACAAGTAACACACGACTCGCATGCCCGTGGCTCAGTGGTAATTCATCTCGAGTAATCCACATAACAAACCTTTTGTATCACTTCTGAAAAGGCCTTTTAAATGTAATTCGAGGCCCTTTAAAAAGGGTCCATGAGTAATTAGATATATTTATTGATATGACACTGTATATTAATCAAAACATTTCCGAATTTTAACATTTCGTCAGTTTAGTATGAATTGTGTACAATAAGAGGGCTATTTTTCGAAGAATGTATGGGTAGAGTAAAAATATTTGGACCGGGTATTATAGCTTTTTCCTAAATGCTCAAACGTGCGATAAGGTGTGTTGTAAGTCGGGAGTTTATGTGCCCCTAAAATTGAAAGACACAAGGTAAAACAAAATGGTTGTGGCCTCATAAATGTGTAAACAATATAACAAAAGGTTAAAGACAGATAACTGCATCTGATTTTAGCAGCCAATCAGAGAATTTGACAGGAGTGGAACTTTGCTGCGAAAATTGAGGAAACTGAGAAACGAGGTGTCATTAGGTACCTGGAAAAGGGCATGTCACCAAAGGAAATATACGAACATACGTAATGTATGCTTTGGGAGGACATCCCTTCATGTTTAACTTTTCAAGAAATGGCTGTTGAATTTAAGAGAGGCAGAAGTAGCACAGAAGATTAAACTGGATCTGGTCGTCCTAAAGATACCACGTCTTAAAGTCGAGCATTGACCAATGTGTTACAATTCAGTTACAAAATCGCCGGCATTACTGGAATCAGTCCTTGGTCACTACAGTCAATCTTAACGAGCTTCAGATTGTGGCTTTGAATTACTTCCTTCTGAACCTCAGCACCCTTTTTACTAAACGCAAGTCACACCTGCATGGTAGAGGTGATAACGGGGTGATTGTAGTCGTCAAGTCTTTTGTGGGGACCACGATGAAGACTTCTCTTTGGCAGTGATAACATAGAAGAACATCACTGAACCATGTGTATTGAACTCAAAGTAAAAATAGGAAAAATAATATGAGAATAATGTTCATTAAGAGGCCTAGAACTTTACGACTCTCCGGTTTTGAGATCTTAATATTTGAAAGGTTATTTGATGCCAAATAAATAAACATGTATATCGTGAGAGCAGTGAATATGCCGTGAACAATTGTATAGTTACACTGGGGTACGTGCAGTTTGCATCCCGTAGTTGTCCCAGGATCCGACGATTCAATTCCAGATACGTCCTGATTATGGTTTAGTTTGTCAGCACAATAGCTGCGCTCGTGGTGAACGTCAAAGAATAACATAACCTGAGGCATTACTCCTACCAACGACACTAAATACAACGAAGTAAATTGATATTCTAGAAATTATGATTTAGGTTAAAAGGTAATGCAAAAACAAGAACATCTGAGTTCATGCTGAGAATTCAGTTTTCCTAATAAATGTTTATCTAAGCTTTGCCGATATAGGGAATCTCACCCGAGTGTCTTTTGATATCAAATATATCAACATGAGTTGATAAAAGTGGGAAAACTCCGAGGCTGGCCGAGGATTTTTCCACTTTTATCAACGAGCTTTGATATGTTTGATATCAAAAGATACGAGGGGGAGATTTTATTTATCATCCAACATTATTCTTCCAACTTTTTCTGTTTGTAGACAGTAATTAGCAGTGTCTTAAGTATAAATAGTACTGCTGACAGCTTCAGTAGCAGAGCCATTAGTATTGTCATTTGATTGTGACGTCATGGTAACCAATGACGTCACAATGGTCTGCAAAGCATTGTGATGCAATTTCCAGTTTTAGATGCTAAATAGATTTCAAAATACATAAGTGGAATAAATAGACTCAGTCCGATCGCATCGATTGATATGCATGGTCCACTGATCATGTAACAGCAACAACGTTACACCAACAATGTAAACGTTTGTTTCAGTTCGGTAATGCATATTGCAGAAAGCGCCATCGAGTTCGACAGCAACACAAAGGTTGCTCTGCTTGTTCATGGAAAGACATTTCGTCTGACAGGTATCTACGTCATCAGGTGTTTCAGAATCTTAAGTTTGCAGCCAAATCGAACTCTGACGACTCTTGTTTACAATGAAGTAGCATTTATCTATCAAAGTACTTGTAAACAATTTCAACAAAGTGCTATATTTTCAGTTCTAATTGTGTTTTCACACAATCTCAGTTCATCCCT